AAAGTAGTCAAATGAAGAACTTCTTATTTTTTTTTATGTTTAGAACCTTATCAATAAGAAAATTATATTTTTTGAAAAACAATAGCTCTATAGCCGAGAAGAATATACAAAATTATTATATTATTGATCTTATACTGTTGCCTGGGTAACATTAGTTCATCTCTAAATTTTTCAAAACCGTTAAAACCATTTAAATGTCCATTAGTTTTTAATATTATAATAACGTCTTTTTTTATTTGTGCCCACAATCTTAATGTTTGAATACAAATACTTTTTATAGTCGTTATAAAAAAACTTAAATTTCTTATAGTTACGAACTAAAAGAAGAATTGTGTAATTTCTGAAATATATTAATGAGCATTAAACTATATTTAATTTAAATCGTCAGACAAACACTTCCATTTCCACATTATGGACTTTTGTTCGTTTGCAATCATTCTACTCTATGAAGAGCGGTTATTAAAATGAATTTCTTGTTGCAAGTCAATTTGTATTATATTATATGAATTGAAAATGGAATAAAATATTAAATGTATGACGCAAAATGGCAACCCCTACACTGTCTCAATTAGAGCAGGCGAATAATGAATGTGCCGAGCTTGGCCATTCCCCTAACACCTTCTTCGGCTTTTATAGAACTTTCACTTAATTGCCATAAATTAGAAGTGCCAATACGTGTTGCATTAAAATTTCAGATCCATTCGGTGAGCGGGCAATCAAGTGATTGACCACAGATTGCGCGGCGGGGGAGGGAAATCGCTTGGAATTAGGCCATGTGGAATAATTTATGCTCGAATTAATAATGGCACGTAGCCAATCATTTGAATGCGATTTAATTAATTTGCCTTGCCGACCTTCACCTGGCACTAAACCGGGCTGGACTGCGCTGGACTGGGCTCAGTAATGACAGGTCCTAAGCCACTCGTTGGCCGAGATGGATGTGCACTACTTACGACCGCTTGTATATCAATAAAATCAAATAAATATATCGTTTGATGCCGGGGCCATCCACCTGAGATCCGCACGCATATAAATAACCAATGATGCGGCATTTATCTGCCCAAGACCCCACTACCCACTACCCATTTCCCACTCCCCATTTCCCACTGCCGGCCATCAGTCTCAGCTTACGTTCCATTTAAAATGGTTTTGGGCCGTCGGGGGGCCATTGAAACTAAAGACGGAGAAATTGTTCTTTCAGTGCACTGCGAAAGTTCCGGGGTCCTGTGAAATCAGGAATATATTCAGGGTTAAAGAAAGTTAGGAGAGCTTCAAGTGTCCCAGAAATGACTATATCATTCTATAATAATATTGAAATTTTTAACAAAACTTATAAGATTACGAAACTGGTGTATTAAATGGATGATTCCCTTTGAATAAAAATTTCTCTCAGTGCTTCTCAGCCATTGTTCTGAGGGAGTTGGCAGGAGTCCTCCCGAGCCGAACTTGGGGCTAAAAGGGATAAACGTTTTTAGCATGGCCTGCACGATTTTTATGCAGGGAACGTGTTGTTGCTGCCCCTTTATCCTTTCGCCCCTGCCACGCCCCCTGCCCCTTTTGGCTCAGGGGCTCTTGGCCATGTCCGTGCGACTGTTTCGCGTCATTTGCTCTCTGCTGGATCGTAATTTTATGGCTGCCAGCAGCTTCTTGGGTCTCCTATTGCCGGGAAAAGGAGCACAAGGAGCTGAGGGAATAGCAGGCAGTCAAAGCAAACGGAAGTAAACTGAAGCCAAAAATTCTCGTTTTTATTTGACGAGGCGTTCAGTTCCTTCAGAGCATTCCTCCAGAAGTTGTCAAAACAAAGCGAGCGAAACTAACAATAAGTGAGTGGAGGGTATGGGGGAGGGGGTGGGGGTTTGGGCCAAGGAGGGGCAACAATGGGCCAACTGCATCACCTGGCATCGGACCAAACGGCAGGCGGAGCCGAGAATATCGCTTACCAACTCGTTTGGCAATTTTTCTCAATTTTCACATTGAAAACTAAGCGCCGCCACCCCCTCCCCCAATGGTATCATCCGCCCCTAGCCAACCCCATTTAAGCCCCCTCTTTTCGACTTGATATTTGGGCTTCCAATTTGAGTGGGGCACTGGGGGATGTGGTGGCGAAAGGGGTGGGGCCCCCGGAGGGAGGTGTCAGCGGCACAAAGCCAACTGGATTTCCGCAGGCCAACTCGGGTTCGCTGGGCACTGCAAAAATGTTGTGGATGTGTTTCGGTAAAAAAGGAGATTTCTTTTTTTCATTTAAAAGAAATATATAAGACTTACATATGTATAAGATATTATTTTGATGTTTTTGAACTACAAAGGTTCAAAGGAAATATTAAACTTTTAGGTGTTATAGTGCATAAGCTATAATAGAACTCAATTTCTCAATTTTCAAAGATACTTTACTTGTTGAGCAGAGCTTATAAAACGTATCCTTGCTAGGACTTTATAAAAATATAAAGACTATAATATTTAAAGATATAAAATATTTAAGGAGAAAAAACTAATACCGGAATATGGTTTACCATTTTTTAAAATTAGTGATTATAATATTGTGGTTGATTTAAATTGGGATTCTTTGAGCATTTGGTTGACTTTAGTTTGAATTTATCAATAGTAAATAAAGTAAGATGTAGAGATCTCTAAATTTCCTTATCATATTCAGCTTATTTTTTCTTGACCTAAAATCCCCCATATTTTCTCCCAGTGCTGATATAGTATCCACCTCCATCTTGGGGCTGCTGGCCATGTTGCTGTTGCACGATTGCTCTTTGGTGATTTGGATTCCCAGCTCACACACACGCACACAGGGCGAAACAAAGCACAAATTGTTGTATGTAATTGTGCGTTGCCACACACGCACACACACACACTCTGGCTGGCATTAACACACACAACACACACACAACAACAAGTGGGGCAGCCACACGAGCTCACCTGCCGCTGCGTGCGCCGAATTCCATTGCATACTTGGCGGCGCCTGCTCCAGCATTCCTCCCCCTGCCACGCCCACCGCTGCAAGGCTACCTTCTGCCCCCCGGAACCCCCTTTCCACCCCCTTTTCCCCACCCCTTTCCCCAGAAAACTCTCCACAAGCCCTGTGCAAATAAAAAGTGATATACGCGCGACACTGAATGAATATTAATCGCTTTCTTTCCTTTTTCAGCTCGCATTTCCCATTCGGCCAGGGGCACCTTTGTGGCTCCCCTTCCTCTCTTCTGGCCTTTTGTTTGGACCATCTGGCCGGCTGATTTGGCAGCTTAAATGATTTCCGCTTCGACTTGACTGCGTGCGGAATTCACGGGAATTTATTAGTTAAGTCTAGCTGATTGTTGCCGGTCTGCCGTTTGGAATAACTCGGGTTCCCTTGATTTTCAGTCTGGGTTTCAATTTCTTTTTCTCCGATTTTGAAAATTCACACTTTTTTTGGGGGCGTAGGCGGGACCTCACTTCTTCCTACCAAAGCACTTAGTCAAAACAGGAAGAAAATAAAAATAATATAGTGTCTGGCCTTACTCATTATATGCACTCAGGGAAATATCTTTAACCAGATTTACAATTTTGAATCCTTACGGATTTAAGAAATGGTTAGCTCAAGAGATTTATTTTAGGTCATGGAATCTTAAGCATGTAAGTTTTGAATAAATATATAAGTTAGGAATATGTTTTATAGCTATGTAGGGTTTTTTTATAAGACCTTCAGTAGGAAATTCTCACATTTAATTTTAGCATCAGCATAGAAGACATCGAACGCTCTTGTGCCTATATTTTATTTATAGTTTTCTTATCTTTAAAAGTTATCTAATAATATTTATTGTAAGTCCCCCTTTTTATGAGTGATAAAGCCCCCTGAGCCACAACTTGTCATGAGGGTTAACACGCTCCCTTTTTTTCGTTGATATAACTCCCCTTGTACTTAGCACCTTTGAAGGGCTTCACTGTGTCCCCGAAAAAAAGGAAAAAACCCGTCAAAATTTCGGGCAATTCAATTGGGACTCCCGGAGGATTCAAAGTTTGTTTGGGAATTCTTCGGGCTGAGGTGTTTTATTTTTAATGAATTTTTCGCATTAAATTTCGCAACAATGAATCGCTTTGTGCGAGGGGTTCGATGTCACCAAGGTGTTTGCATCCCTTGACACCTCGTCTGTTGGAATGACCCCCCACAGCCCCCCTAATCCTTCCAGCCCCTGGGTTCCTGAGTCTGTCAGGTATTTCCGCAAACATGTTTGCATGTTTTGCCACACAGAATTTATAGTTAATTTTCAATTTTGTTCAACAAGCTGCACAGACACTAACGCTCACAGGCTCACATAGATTTGAATGAATGGATTCCATTTTGCAGGCATGCCAGGTGGAAGGGGCGTCGTTGAAGGGGGTCGAAAGGGGGCGGGACCGAGGACGGCACCCCTTGTCAAAGGCAAACTTTGCAGACAACAAAAGCCGGTTGCAGACTGGGAGGGAAGATGCAGGATCTGCGACACAAGAAGGCCAACGGGGGGAGCTCAAACTTTACACTCTCCATTCTAATTGCCAGTACTACACCCCTTTTTTAGGTGTCACGGGCTACGCCCATGCGGCTTTTGATTCTCTGTGGTTGGTGCGTCTACAAAAAAAAGACAACTAAATAATAAAAAAAAACTCAGACACACTCGCAACGAAACTAATCTGGTAGTGAACCCGAACATGACACACTCACTGGAAAAAACATCGTCACTCAAAGGAGGAAGTGATAAAAGCCTTCTTTTTTAAGAACAGATGATAGGCGGGTGAAATGGTTTACAGTAGATTTGCGTGCTTTCCAGAAAAAAGCTTGGGACTGTTTTATAAAAGATTACATTTTTACCAATTTAACCTGTTTTTTTATTCTTCACATATATAAAATAATTAAATATAATAATTATATATATTTATAAAATTGAACTTTTTGCTATAACTATTTATAAATATTGTTAATAGATCACTATAAATATTATACTGCAATATTCTATTATTATAAAGATATTTTATCTATTTTGTTGATCTATATTTTACATTTTTTGAGCTTACAGAGTATCTTATGGATATGGATTATTTTTCCCCTGTGCAGACATCTCCCTATACACCAGCATATACATAGAAAAGCAATTTGTTTGCGGCTCTCACTATTGTTGCATGATTATTGTTTGTTTGGATGCGTCGTCTGCTTCCCAACCGAATCGCGGCTCGAGTTGCCTCCCCGAATTTTCCCCATTTCCCGCCGCTTTTCCGCCTTTCCCCACCATCTTTGTCACACTTTTTTCCAGCAGCCCCAATGTGTGTGCGAGTCTGTCCTTGCGGTGTATTTAACCTGTCTGCTTGTTGGATTACGACAACCAGTCCACAGACAGTCGGGGGTGGGGATTTCGAGGAGGGGTTGGCAAACAAAACAGGCAACAAAACATGTATCTATTCATACGCCACTTTGTGCCGAGAGGGGTGGCAAAAAGGGGTGCGAGTGGGTGCTTGGGTGACTGGGTAATGCAATACGCATGCAACGATACCGCAAGAGCCCCCAGAAGAGACCCAGACCCAGAAGCAAGAGCAGACTTCCACTGGGTTAGCAGACATTTTAACGCTTATTTTACTTTTGGCTACAAAAGCACACCCCCAAGCAAACAACACACACCGACCGCAATGTTCACACTTATTTGCCCTTACACTCAGCTCAATTGCGTTTCACTGGGTAAAAACGCGCGTTAATACTCCGTTCGCACCGACTCCATTATGGAGATTATCTTGATCGATTCACTTTGCAGTTGGAGAAAGTCCTGAAAGACATCGTACACGAAATACGACCAGATACCTTGTTAAAAAGATTTCTTAAATTAGTTAGTTCACTGATGAGAAATATAATAGGTTACCTGCTATAAATGGAAGTAGGGGAACCATCATCAACATTCTGCCCTCCAGATGGGTTAAATAGAGAATGGACTTGTACGACAGCGTATAAATCAAAATGATGGAAGCCACCATCCAGGGCAAAAAAAGCCAGTGATTATTCTGAAAATAAACACATATTTTGAAAAATATTTATTAGCAAATAATATCACATATCTCAATGCTAATATAAGACTTTTTCTTCAATGGAATACAAATATTTAAGTGTGTGATATATAGTGTGATATAGTATAGTTCTAATTTAAATAAATGTTTTTATAATTCAAATGTTTTTGATGTTGCATAATCCATCCATAATCCACTTGCGCTATAGGAAAAGCTCTATTTTTTTCCTATGTCTCCTATAGAACTCAACATTTTCTTTACCTTCAAGGAACCCACGAATAGGCAGATCCCACCGATGATCTGCAGCACACAAACGTGATTCCACACACTTATTTCACAGCACTTGTCATTCTCCAGCCACGTGAACTCCAAAATCAGAAAGGAAACCATTACGGAACAGCCAGCGATGGCCATTCGCACGTATTCAGCTTTCAGCGATCGACACATTTTCTACAGCTCAACAGAACCCTACGAACACTCCATAACAACTGCACGAAACTCACTATCCAGACCTCCCAAGTGACAGACCTCCCATAGCTGGGGAGCCCTTATCAATAAGCTTATTCAAAGTAAATAAAAACAAAAATCGAGTTCTTTTGCAAGCCGAAATGAACTTACCCCTGCAACTATATACATATATACTTTTTTGAAAAAAATATTTGATAGAGCGTTCAGATATCACGTTTGTTTTTGGTTTGTACAAATAAATTCTGATAACAAACTCTTTAATGACGTGTATTAAAATTTATAAAATCTTTGGGAAACATTTCTTTCTTTCTTCATTTGTAGAAATATGTACATTATAATAGATTGTTCAGCGCGATAAAATAGAGTCGCTGTATTGTTTTTGTTTTTTGGTAAATTAAAATTTTATTTTTCTGGAATGTTTTGTTGTGAAACCCAAAACTACTAACGAAAACTTTAACCAGACTGGAGGTTATGGGGCATGGGCCGCGATGAATGTTCGTCTTAAGTAGCTGGAGCTTTTCGCGTAAATTAGCCAAGTGTAGACTTCATTAAGTTGGGCCAGTAAATTAAGTGCTAATGTCGAAAGTTTTGACCGACAAAGTGCGCAATGAAATGCTGTAGTTGTTGCTGCTATCCGAACTGTTGTTGTGCTTGATACTTTTTTTAATGTTCCCTTGCTGCGGAAACAGCCAGCGGCAATAGAAAAGCAAAAGGAGCAGCTTCATCCGTATCCCCCCGTATCATCCGCATCCTCATACCCAGAAACCGCATCAACAACAACGGGAGTAACACCAGGAATTAGGGTTAACCTATTGGATCGAATATTCGAATATCCTTTAAGAGTAATTATTAGTCATAAATGATGATAGTATATGATTTCAATATATTGTCCTGATGATTTAGAAGGCCTAACCAAAAATACTCATAGATTCTAATAATCTAATCTTCTAATAATTTATTGCTATTTTATTTAAGGCCCAAGTCTCATCACAAATGAAGATTTATTGATATATGGATGGGATTCTTAATAAATTTTTAAGTTTCAAATATATTTTATTGAATTGGAATTTTTTGAATTGTTAATTTTCGAAATAAAATCAAAAAATCCCACTTTCCAGGGTATAAGAATAGGAAGAAGAAGAACTGGAGCGGAAAGTACGCTAAATTGATGATGTAGACCAGCGAACGAAAATTGCACTCACTTTCCCCAGTAACCCAACCCCAAAATCCCACTCCCCCCCCAAAAAAAGGGAGGCTGCCACGCCCCACACCCCATTATACCCCCCTTAATGTCTGCGTAAGGCAAAAACAGTCTGCAAATTTTTAATGCTTTAATCTTGATGCTAATAAATCTTGAAGTTCCCTGGCACTTTTACATTACTTTCGGGCAAAAAGGGTTTGCCAAGGGAAGGTGGCAAATACAATTAGACAGCTGCACGCTTAACGTTCTTAGTTTAAGCCAATTTGAATGCACTTTAACCCCCCTACTGGCCAAACGCCCCACGCCCCTGGATAATTGCAAGTGACACTTGAGGCGAGTGCCCTGCTGACATCGCCTCTAATCGAATTTCGAGCTGTTCGGTGCGTGTGGCCAGGCCATTGATTAACCCGACCAGTTTTCCATCAAATAATGGGGGGGGGGGGGTTGATAAAGGGGGGAAAACTTTGGCATAATTTCCCAGGCAAAAGTTGGCCACAATGTCATCAGCGGCACTTGCCAGTTGACAGTTTTGCGGTGGATGGTGGATGGTGTATGGAAGGTTGGATGGATGGTGGAGGCGATCCTGACACACAACTGTCAGAATGGCGTGTGACAAATTTTCGTTATTAGAGCGGGGCAAACCTCGTTTTATTAACTTGAAATTTATGGCCAGCCATTTGGAAAGACAAATTAATCAAAAAGGCGAAACGCTCTCGCTCCTCCTTGGCTTGGCTTTTATTTCCGTGTACATAAATTTGTATTTAAAAATGAGTTAGACGCGGAGCTTTGGCTCAATTTCACGCCATCTCAGCTACCAGATTCTTCCACCTGCCAAATGCCAAATGGATGCCATTTCTCTTCGCCCTTCTCCACCGACTTTTCTTATTATGTACGAATTTGTCATTTCCTCGAGCTGAAATGCAATTTAAATGCTGCCGGGTAGCGAAAAGGAATTTTAATGTTCTCCTTTTTAATGGGGAGACGTTAAAGAGCCGGCGAGTAAAACAAACTGGGTGTCTTTCGAGTATCCCCTCATCAAGTCCACTTACTTTTCCAGAAGAAGCAGCATATGTTGACCACTCACTTGGGCTTCTTTATGAGGTGGACCCCGAATTCTGGCCACTTTATTCCACTGAAGGCTGGGAAAAAAGTGCAAAAATATGTTGCACATAAATTCGTATTAAGTTTGGCCCGCTGTCACTTTTTCTTCGGCCGCCTAAGCAATGCGGGCAGACAGCATAACGACATAATCATAAATTTAAATATGCAACCCAGAGTTCCTGCCCCGTCGCCCCTTACATCACAGCCCAAAAAAAGAAAAAAGGATGGAGAAAAGCAGCTCAGTGGAAAAAAGCGCAGAGGAGAACCTTGGCAGTGACAGTTTCACTTTGCCTGGCATAAGGAATTTCCCCGGCTTGCCAGGCACACATGTTGCCCCAGCTTTATGCGTCCCAAATGGAGTTGTTTTCCAGCCGTCGAGATGGAAATACGGGGTTGGGGAAGGCGGAAGTACTGCCCTTTACTAAGAAGAGGTCTTTATTAAGGTCTGATATAACCTGGAATCAGATTAAAACGAGCATTTGGGGTTCAAGTGACACCCCTAATGTCCCAGGGCAATTTTGGGCTTGCCAAATTAATATTAAGCTAAATGGAATTCTTAAAAAGGTATTTCTTTTGAATGAAAAAATAGTTTTTTAAATATATAATCTTGAGAAAAAATATAGAAAAAAAAAAATTATTTTCCTTGAATATTATAAACAGAAATTAAAAATATCGATTAGAAATATGCTTTATAAACATAGATTGGAAATTAAGATTTGAAATTTTTTTTTGAAATGTTTATTAAATAAATTCAATTCTTTTTTGCCCGCTATATCTATAAGACCATGTGTTGTATTAAGTACCTAAATATTTAATAAAATAAAATAAATTAATGATATACCTTAGATTACCACCACCAAATGTTACCTAAGACAACAATTAATTAAATACTTAGTCAGCAGCCAAATTGACAATCAGACCCGAGTATCTTGAGTTATGGTCACCATTGGCACCATTACTATATTCCCTGTTCAATCAAGTAATTTCAGGCGATTTACCAAAGAAAAGTGGCAGGAAAAATGCCCGGAAAAGTAGGGGGGATCCCACACCTGGGCACCCTTTTCACCCCTTTATCCCCCTTAAACCCCCTTAAACCCCTTTAACCCCCGGCAGCCCCCGTCATCATTCCGAGTCCCCAAAATCTGACGCAAACATTTTCGAGTAATCCGAGTGAGAAGGAGCAGGGCAGAAACGACAAATAAAATGTTTCGCAAAGCAAACTATGGGCCAACAATGGTTTTGGGACCTTCGAGGGACCGGGAAAGCGGCAAGGAGTTGGCCCCAAAGGAGGGACATTAGTTTATTAGAGTGTGCGAGAAGCTTTAATGCCCGAAACCTAAACAAGAGATAAGGAGAGCGGGAATATCCTTTTGGAAGGACTCCTTCCGAGGGAAGAAAGAGAGACAGGACAGTGCGAGTGACAAGGCAAATGCATGTTATTGTGTGTGCTTAAAAATAAGAGAGAGAAATCTACTTAAATGGTGAAAAGTTGCGGACATGGAAGGTGCTTCCGGATCAAGGATATACGCAAATAATGTTTGTAAACAATTTTTATTGCTTTCTGGTTGAGATGCGGCCCGTATTTGCTTGCAAAAGTAAAATTTGTTGATAGAAATCACAGAACATAAACAGAGAAAGATGCTGGACCAAAAGATAGAGATATATCTCGGGGTGTGTACACAATAACATAAATTGCAGAATGTGACAAAGGGTTGCCCTTTGCCCCCTCCTCTGCCAACCAATCCTCCAAGTTGAGTGGGTCAGCAGCCCGAGGAATATAAATAACAAAGGCCAGGCCGGAGAAATTCCCCCGGACTTCTGTCGATGACATCAGCAAACAGTCGAAGAAATTGAAAAACCAATCCGAGTTGGCCACATACATGAGTTCCCCCGGCCACCGCAGCCACTGACATGGCCAAAACCAAAAGACAGCGCAGAAACCAGCCAACCAATTCGCCGGCAAAGTTGGTACTTTAAAGTTAAAGCCAAATCGGAAGGGGGCGAAAGGGTATGGGTATTATCCCCCCGAAACGATGCACACACTCACCTACACATGGCCAAAAAGCAGACGGGGAGGAAATTGCTTGCCTTTCCTAACTAAAACTTGGGGAAATTATGAAATTCATACAGGAAGACAATTTTCTTCAACATCTAATTCGGTTGCTGCAGCCCCAAGTATGGGTACAGTAAAATAAATATTTAAAGAACTTTTATTATGTGTAATAAATTGTTGGAATGACGATAACCTCATATTTATAAATTCCATAGGAACATAATTAGAATTAATTGGACATAAAAATATACTTTGGGTAAATTAAGTTTCTTTACTCTTATTCTGTCATAGTAAAGAACACGCCAAAGACTTAACTTTAAATGGAAATAGAAGTGATCTTACTTTATTACACCTAAAAATAATTAGACTCTATACAATCTTACTTTTGAGAGTAAAACATATGTCATTTTAAGATTTTAAAGGTAGTTAAATCCAGAGATGTCAATCGACTTAATCGACTAATCGACCAAAAAAAATATATCTCTTTTTCAATGTATTGTAATTTAAATGCCTTTGCCACTTCATTTTCTGATTTTACCACCTAAAAAGTTTGTTTTAGGAAAGTTGACCTGTACAGCTTTAGCAACATTGCATCAGCCCGAAATTTGTTTGCGGTCTTAGCCATAAGTTTGTCCGTCGACAGGCAACTTGCG